TTTTTTACATAGTCAATTGAGTTTGTAACTGTTTTAATATTAGGATGGTTAGGTGGAAGTGATTTTTGCAAGATAGAAAGTGCCTTTTCTAAGAATGAGAGTGCTTTTGAGTAGTCTCCTTTGCCGGAATACGCCATACCGATGTTGTTGTAGGAAGTAGCCAATGAGGGATGATTCGGAGGCAGAGCTTTTTCTTTTATTTTATGTGATTTTTCGTAAAATTCAAGTGCTTTTGAGTTGTCTCCTTTGCCGGAATACGCCGTACCGATGTTGTTGTAGGAAGTAGCCAAATCGGGATGATTCGCAGGCAGAGCTTTTTTCTTGATTTCGAGATCTTTTTCGTAAAATTCAAGTGCTTTCGAGTAATCACCCATGTTGTTATACACTGCACCGATGTTGTTGTAGGAACTAGCCAAATTGGGATGATTCGGAGGCAGAGCTTTTTCTTTTATTTGATGTGCTTTTTCGTAAAATTCAAGTGCTTTCGAGTAGTTACCCATGTTGTTATACACTGCACCGATGTTGTTGTAGGAAGTAGCCAATGAGGGATGATTCGGAGGCAGAGCTTTTTCTTTTATTTTATGTGATTTTTCGTAAAATTCAAGTGCTTTCGAGTAGTCACCCATGTTCTTATACACTCCACCGATGTTGTTGTAGGAAATAGCCAATGAGGGATGATTCGGAGGCAGAGCTTTTTCTCTTATTTCAAGTGCTTTTTCGTAAAATTCAAGTGCTTTCGAGTAGTCACCCATGTCGTAATACACTCCACCGATGTTGTTGTAGGAAGTAGCCAAATCGGGATGATTCGGAGGCAGAGCTTTTTTCGTGATTTCGAGATCTTTTTCGTAAAATTCAAGTGCTTTCGAGTAGTCACCCATGTTGTTATACACTTGACCGATGTTGTTGTAGGAAGTAGCCAAATCGGGATGATTCGGAGGCAGAGCTTTTTCTTTTATTTTATGTGCTTTTTCGTAAAATTCAAGTGCTTTCGAGTAGTTACCCATACTGTTATGCACTTGACCGATGTTGTTGTAGGAAGTAGCCAAGGAAGGGTCATCTTCTGGTAGAGTTTTTCGTTTAATTTTGAGAGACATTTCATAAAATGAAGCTGCTTGTTTGTATTGTCCTTGGCCGTCTTTCAACCATCCAAGCTGGTGATAGATATCTGCTTTATTACTGTCGTTAGAAGCCTGTTCTAGTAGTGCCATGTACAATTCTTCAGCCTTGTTGAATTGACCAATTTTGAGTAGCAATTGACCCAGTCGATACCATCCAGTGCCGCCGACTTCTTTTCGTATACGATCGGTTAATTGACGAAGTTGTTGGTCATCATCCGACGTAAGTTTAAGGTCCACTTGATAAAGTGGACTTTTCTTGTCAAGTTTTCGAACTTCATCAATTCGAAAGACGGTGTGCATCGAGAAGAGAATTTCCTCTTCGTCCTTGTAATAACTCACCTCCTGGATGGAGGCGAAAGGAGTCGATGAGACAGTAGGATCTATTGTCATTTGGAAGAGGATGCCGGCCATATCGGTTGTTCCTAATGCATCTTTGGCGAAACCGAGGGAAACATCTCTTTTTGTACTGGTGGATAAAAAGTTGTTGAAAGATATGAGACCACCTTTGTTTTTTGCAAATTTTTCAAAGTCACTTGTCGAAAATCCTTGACCCCTATAAACTAGAAAGGACTTTCCATGATACTGACTGACCTGTTGGCTGTGTAATTCTTCAATTTGTCGATGAACATCACACAGGAAAAATCCCATTCGGATGATAATATCGCCGTCCAATGTTCTTAATGCTCGATTGAGCATTTTGTATGTGAAGCATTGGCGTGTATACCACCACAATGCCAATGTTGGATGGTAAGTACGTTGAAATTCATTGATTAACTTGAGTTCTTTGGTATTGCCTTCGTATTGTTCTTGACAATATGTGACCAAGTCTTTAACGGCTGTTTGGCCATGTTCCATATCAAGGAGTATTTCCTTGAATATTTGAGTATACATGAAGGAAGGCTCTAGCTGATTGAGATTTTCGCTAGAACCTCCTTCATTGACACCGATAATACTGACTGTTACTTGATCTTGATTGCATTGTTTGACAGCCAGTGCCAGTTTTTCACAGATGTGCTTAATTGACGTATGCACACCTTTAATTTTGGGCCAATTCTTAGCCCATTCTTGGTGGCGTTGCTTGTTGCCACAAAAAATGTATATGGCATCCAGCTTTGGCATGCCATGAATTTCTGGTACCAAGTGTTGTCCTAATGTACCCGAGGAGATAACAAATGATGTCTCCTCATTGTTTTCCTGGAGCTTCTGGATACATTGTTCGGCCGTGGTGCATGGGTTGACTTCATTAACAACACCGCGCAATTGTGCGAGTGTATTCTGGCAATCTTCATTTGCCATGTTGATATTGCTGTCGACCCAGATGACCAGGTAGTTTTCAGCCATTCGTAGTCGTCGTTGTCTATTCATTTTCGATGTTGTTTTTGACGTTTGCTCGACGATTGAATATTGTGAAGGGTCAATTGTTGTTTGGATAGAGACCACTGTTTTCTATTTATATATTCGATATTGGATGTTTTTTTTCTAGATTATTCTATGACATCAAATATGGGTGCGTATTTTTTTTGTTGACACTCAAAGATAAACCCCACCTACTTTCAATTGAAAATATGCTTGTCAAAAGCAAACGAAAGAAAAAAATCCAACAACATCATTTATCTTATCGTTATTCTTTCCAACTCTCGTTGGGTTTTTTTTCTATTGACTTTTATTTACCTTATAAAACGAGACTAACAATGCAAGATAAGAAGAAATTAAGCAAAATTAAATAGCATGATAAGAATAAGATAGCAAGAAGAAAGATACAAAGCCAATAAGTGAAGGTATCATCATCATAAGTCTGTAGGCTAGTGTGGTCTGGGTGTGGGTGTATATAGAGTGCAGGTGTCGGTGTAGGGTGTGGCT